AGGGGCTGGGGGCCGGGGGGAGCCCACCCGGCCTGGAGCCAGGGTGGCCTTTCACCCCTTGGCACTGCCCTGGCTCTGCAATGCCCCCACAGGCAGGGCCCACTCCCGGTTTGGTTCTCAGGCACACGCATGTTACTTGAATTCCTCAAGTGGAGTCTGGCTGCACCCCAGACAAGGCCCAGGCCTCTCTGCAGGGCAGGGCGAGCCACCCACTCGACTCGCACATGCACACACACACACAGAGCCTCGTGTATGTTTTCAGAATTTAAAATAAAGAAGAAGTAAGTGGGGAAATTGCCCATATTTTTAGAGAGAGAGAATTCAAATAACAAAACGGGCCCGTCAAATGGTCAAGGAGTAGGCCAGCCTCGTAGTGCTGTGGTGAGGCTCAGAGCACTGGGAGCCAGATCCCATCCCGGCCAACTGTGGTTCAAATCCCGGCCCCAGCAGTCTGAACAACACTCTGGCATGTGTGTGCCCCAAATCCCATCACAGGATGGTGAGATGGAGGAGGGGGCTGTGGAGCAACCAGGCTCCATTGGTTGATGCTTCCTTTCCCTCTTTTCTCTCTCTCTGGAGAGCACATGTGCCTGCAGGCAACCGAAAAACACCAAGGTTTAAAATAAGTTATAGGGCTGCCAGGTGGCATGGTAGTTACGGCACTGGACTTCCACATGGCTAACCACAGTTCAAGTCCCGGTCCTGTGACTTGAAACTCACACCGGATGTGTGTGCATGCCCAAAATTCAAAGAAGAGAATGGAGGATAAGGGGTTGCCGTGTAGCCGTTTCCCCTGGGGGGTGATTTTTCACTTTCCTTTTCTCTCTGTCTCTCTCCAGTGAGTGTACATGCCCTATGGTGAAACCTATATATAAATAAATAAATATCGAATCTCACAAGGGCTCTGCAGAAAGAAGGGTCTATTCAAACACTGTTGATGAAAGTCTATGTTGGGACCAGCAGATGGCGTAACGGCTATGTCACTGAACTCCCACGTAGTCAACTGTGGTTTAGGTCCCGGATCTGATGACTTGAAACTCACACCCAGTGTGTGTGTGTGTGCCCAAAATCCCGAGAGGAGAGTGAAGGAGAAAGGATTGAAGCGTGGCCATCCCCCCTGAAAGGTGATTTCTCATTTTCTGTTTTTCTGTCTCTCTGGCAAGCACAAGCACCCTAAACCTCTCAGAAAAGGAAAAAGAAGAAGAAAAGGGAACCAGCAGTTAGCGTAATGGCTATGTCGCTGGACTCCCACGTAGTTGACCGCGGTTTGTGTCCCGGACCCAGTGGCTTGAAACTCATGCCAGGCACGTGTGTGTGAGTGCCCAAGATCCCGAGAGGAGAATGGAGGAGAAGGGATTGCGGCGTGGCCATCCCCCCTGGGGGGTAATTTCTCGCTTTCTGTCTCTATGTCTCTCTCTGTCTGGCAAGCGCATGAGCCCTATAGTGAAAAATCTCTCAAAAAAAAAGAAAGAAAAGAAAAGAAAAGAAAGTCTCCATTTCTCTAAAGCCAGTACAGTAAAGCATCCTTGCACTGGCTATGAGCTCTAAGGGGCCCGCTCTACCCCTGCCCTGTCCCTGGCACCTGGTGAGTACTCAGTACAGGTTTTAAAAAAGATTTTTGCCATAAGGCATGTGCACTTGCCTGAGAGACAGAGAGAGACAGTGAGAGGGAAAGTGAGAAATCACACTCTCACACACACACACACACACACGGGGAAAGGCCACACCACAGTCCCTTCTCCTCCATTCTTCTTTTGGGAACTTGGGCATGCACGCACATGTGCCTGGTGTGTTTTTCAAGCTGCCAGGTCTGGGACTTGAACCGCATAGTCGGCCATGTGGGATCCAGCACTTTAACTACCGTGCCACCTGCTAGTTGCTAGTCCCTTCAGTACGTTTTTGTTGAATGAGCGATGAGAGAGGAACTGTTACGACAATGTTATAAACAGCATTTACCACTGAATTCAGTAACATGGGAGTGCTTACAGTAGAATTAAGCGGAGAAAGGGTGCGTGTCTGTCCAAACTCAGCTACGTTCAAACTTAACGCGGGCACGCAGGCTAGCTGGCAGGGGAGGGACTACGCTAGCAGCGCGCTGAGACTGTATCTGAGGGGTGGGCGTTCCAGAAATCTCCACTTCTCTCTCCAGTGTTTTCTGATTCTCCTCCAATGGTGTCTACTGCTTTTAAAGCCAGGGGAAAGCGGTGACAGACTTTGGAAAGGCCAGCTCAGGCCGGGCTGGGAGACCTCCGGGGAGACACCCCCGCACAGTACCCACCTGGGGGTCCTTGAGGCGAAACAAATCCGGCTTCAGGTAATAGACGATGCCCGTGTAGGCTCCGGGCAGGGTGACGCCGCGGACCAGGAGGACGACCAGCATCAGGTAGGGGAACGTGGCCGTGAAGTACACCACCTGGGGGGAGCCAGGCCGCGTCACCCCCAGCAGCCCGACCCCTCCCGGCTGTGCGGTCACACGTGCAGGTTCACGGAGCCTGGGTGGCAGCTGAGAGCGGCGGCAGCGAGCACAGGGGACTTCCCACACCTCCCTGTGCACGTTCCAGCAGCCCGGCCTCCGGGCACCCAGGCGCACTTCAGCCAGTGGGGCCAGGGGGCGCAGACCGCGGTCCAGAACCTCCAAGGATGGCCGTGTCCTTAGCCCCTGGCCTGGCCTCGCCGGGGGCGGTGCTCAGACTTGACAGCCGCCTGCAGGGGATTCAGCCTGTACTTTCCCAGCCTGAGCTCCGGGATCCTGCCGACACCCAGCGGTGTCCCACGCCACCCTGAGCAGGCGCAGCTCCTCGGCGAGGGGGCCGTGCTGTCTGTCCTCATTACCCATTGCATGTGACCGTCATCACGCAGTGCGGGACGGGCGGTGCTGCGGGGACACCCCAGTCAGGGCTGCTCGGACAAGTCAGGGCCCTCCCACTCCGGGTGGGACCGAGCCTGCAGTGTCTTCGGGTCGGAAGTAGTGCGCGACCCTGAGCCCTCCACGTAACGAGCCCAGCGTCCTCCGTTCCTGGTGAGCCCGCCAATGATCAGAACTAACACCTGAAACACAGCTGTTTGCCAGGCCGTGCAATAACGTGTCTGAGCATGTTGCGGTACACAGCGAGCGAGTCGTGAGAGAGTGCGGTCCTGGAGACACAGCACGTAGGCTGGCGGGGACACGCACACCCGAAGACCTCGACGGCCACACGGCAGCAGCTGCCCGAGCCGCCGGGCTGACAGCTCACCGGGTCTGGGACACGACTAGCTATGGCAGCGGGGCTGGCAGGTCTCTTACTCTGCCGATTATTACTACGGAAGCAGCTCTGCGTTTCCAATGCCCGAGAGAGAGAGTGCCCCTCGGTGGGCATGGTCACGACGCAGTCCCTCTTCTCCTTTCCCCACACTCTCAGGATTTGGGGCACTCATGCCCATGTGCCAGCGTGTTTTTCAAGCGACCAGGACTGGGATTTGAACTGTGGTCATCCCTGGGAGAGAGCACTGTCCTCCCACGCCCTCGCACCTATCTGGCTCCCTTCACACAGTGTTTAACCACTTCTAGGGCCAGTCCCAAATAGGTCTTTTTTTTAAGTAGAGGTTTTTGCCATAGGGCATGAGTGCTCGAGAGTGAGAAAGAGACAGAGACAGGGAAAGTGAGAGATTGCCCCCGGGAGGGATGGCCACACCGCAGTCCCTTCCCCCCCATTCTCCTCCTGGGATCTTGGGCACGCATGCACACATGCCCAGCATGATTTTCAAGCCACCAGGTCTGGGGCTCAAACCACAGATGGCATGTGGGAGTCCAGTGATGTGACCACCACTGTGCCACCTGCTGCCCCCAAACAGGCCTTAAAAGTCGTATCAGAAAAGGAAGTCCTTCCTTGTGCTGGCTCGACTGTTCCCACGACGCCCCGTCCTCACCTCCCCTCTCCCTTAAATGACTTTTTCATTTCCCCAGAGAGAGCCCTTCGCGCGGCCGTGGACTCGGGCCGCAGACGGCGTTCTCACCTTGCCCGTGGACTTGACGCCCTTCCAGATGCAGAAGTAGCAGACGACCCAGGCCAGCAGGAGGCACAGCGCCAGCTCCCAGCGCAGGGCACCCAGGTCATGGATGCCCGAGGTGATGCCCAGGACGCGCCTCCTGAGGGGATGACAGCCGGTGAAGGCTATGGGGACGCTGGGCCTCGTGACCAAGTCCCGCTCTTAGAGCTGACCCGGCAGGTCCCACGTGCGGGGCTCCCCTGCCTCCCTTGGCCATGCCTTGCTCCCACCTGTGGCTTGTGCACCCCTGGGGTTAGAAGGGCAGTCACCACGACCTCAGAGAGGCCTTTGGCTGTGACCATTGCAGCTGTCTCTGTTGTGCGGACAGAGACAGAGACAGCCTGAGGGCTGGCTGGGCATGTGGGACAGCCATTCATACATGCGGTTGACGAGCAAGTGTCCGGGCGTCTAGTGAAGGCTCGGTGCATGTCAGTGTAAGGCATGTGTGCGGTGATGGGTGTGTGTGTGGTTCAGGAAACCGAGGTGCATGTGTGTGCATGCTGGTGACCATGGGTGAGAACGCAGGGGAGGGGCGGGCATGGGTGGAGGCGGTGCAGGAGGTGAGCGTGTGAGCGCGGGTGCCGCAGTGCTGACCAGGCTAGCACACCCATACGGCACAGCGCCGGGAGGAGGCGGAGGCCTGCCCCTCAGGCTCTTCCCACGCACCGCTGGCCGCCCGCGTGGCCGCAGGGTGGGGCGGGGCGGATACAAAGGCGAAGGTGGACACGCGTGAGAATGTCCGCGGACGTGGATGGACACACGGGCTGGGGCGGTGCGAGGGCGAGGGAGGACAGTGCTCTCTCCTCCCTCCACGATGTGTGGGCGTATGCTGGAGACCGAGCGGGGAGTCTCCGCCTGCACCCCAGACACCCAAACTCGCACAGCACAGACACCCAGCTTTCTCCCGCGTGGGGCCCCCGGCACGTGCAGCCATGCCTGGCACCTACTCCCAGAATTCCATGACGGGCGAGGTGACATTCTCAGCGGGGATCGCTGTGCTGGCTCCCGAGTGGTTCAGAAAGTCCACACAATGCTCTGCTGGGGACAAAGAGGGACAGACCTCTGTTAGGGACCCAGCGAGGAGATGCTCTCGTACAGGGCTGACCCGGGGCTGACCCCGGGCCTGCCGAGAGCCTCCTTGAGCCCTGCTGGTGGTGGGACCACCGTCTCCCTACGCAGCGCTCACTGCTCTCGTTCCCGGAGAATCGGCTGCCCCTCTGGTGCCAGCCTCCGACACAGCACGGACTCGGACCCGCTCAGCCCCGTGTGGGTGTCTCCTGTGCACTCTGGCAGCCCATCCCTCCCGCCATCGCTATGGCGGGCCCGCCGGCCACCCCCACC